CGTCGTCGCCGATCAGCCGGTCGTCGCCCGCGCCGCCGATCACGTTCTGAATGTGATCCATCTGGTCGACCAGCACGAAGACGTTGCCGCGCAGCACGTAGCCGGCGCCGGCGCCGAGATCGACCCGCACTGCCGCCTCGATATTCGTATAGTCGACCGTGTTGATGCCCGCGCCGCCCCAGAGCTGGTTGGTGCCGCCGGTCGCGGTGCCGCCGGCGAAGAAGTCGTCGCCGTCGAGCCCGTAAAGCGCGTTCTGTCCGGCGCCGCCGTCCAGGACGTTGTTGCCGTCGTCGCCGATCAGCGTGTCGTTGTTGCTGCCGCCGATGGCGTTCTCGATCGAGTCCAGCGCGTCGGTGAAGACCAGTATGCCATCTTCCTTCAGATAGCCCGCGCCCGCGCCGAGATCGACATACACGACTGCCGTCTGCGCGGCGTAGGTCACGGTGTCGATGCCGTCGCCGCCCCACAGCTGGTTGACGCCGTCGGTCGAGGTGCCGCCGGCCAGGCTGTCGTTGCCGTCGCCGGCATAGAGCACGTCGACGCCGCCGCCGCCGTTCAGCGAATCGTTGCCGGCATTGGCCGTCAGGATGTTGTTCAGCTCGTTGCCGATGATCTCGTCGTTGCCCGCGCCGGTGACGAGGTTGGAGATCAGCGAGCGCGTGTCGTCGTTGTAGAGGAGCGTGTTGTAGATGTTGCCGTTGGCCAGGTTGTCGTAGGCGGAGGTGCCGGGCGCAGCTTGGGCATTGAGGTCGGCGATCTGCGCCTTGGAGAAATTCAGCCATTGCCCGGCCCGCAGGTCGTCGACCTGGTTGCGTCGTCGAAGTTGCTGAGGTCGTAGGTCGTGGTCGCACCGCCTGTCCACACGGTCGAGAAGATCTTGCCGGTGATCGTCGTGCCGGTGTTGGCGGCCACGCTGCCGTCGATGTACTGCTGCCCGGTCGTGTTGTCCCAGGTGTAGGTGGCCGAGGTGCCGGCCGCGTCGAAGTTGGCGCCGTACAGCGCCTGGAGTGCGGCGATGT